GTGCGCAACACGAATTACGGAGTTCCGTAAATAATTTTGCGACGACGACGACGACGACGACGACGGGAATTTCGCGACGGGCGCTGTGTCATTTCGAGTTCGCGCAATGAAAAGCGCAAAGCGAGAGACACAATTGACGTTGGAAAACCAAAGGAGCAAAAATCTTCGTTTCGGGAGGGTTTTATACGTAAGGTAAGTATGTTCCGGTCGGGGTAAAGGTGTAAACAGAACGCACACTAAAGACGATTCTTAGCGATAATAGCTCGCTCTCTGTCTGCGCCGCATGCGTCACTCTATGACTGTTTGTACGCTTGGAATTTAATTAAGTTAATTAAATTTGTATTCGCCCCGGGCGTCGCTATTCTATGCACGTGACGTATACGATGGCAAGTCGCCCAATAGACCAGTCATCTCGAGTGAGCTTTGAGAAGCGTTTTATCTCCGTTTCGCGCGCAATAACCGCGCCTATACACCGTTATTCCGCTTTGCGCGCGTATAATTCAGTCTTTCTCACAGTCATTCGCGCAATAGAATCGCGCGAATATGTGTGTGGGAAAGGCTGCTCAGCCATTTTTGACTTTCTTACGCGGTTAACCGTGAGCTAAAATTAAACGCGCGATATTAATGTTTTGCTCTGGGAATTAAATTTGCAAAATTGCGTTGCGTCCGTATTTGAATTCGAACACAAATGTTTGTTTCTCATGTATTTCTCGTAATTAATTTCAAATTAACATATCTAAGCACAAAGTAGTTTCCCGCACTATGCAAAGTCAAATATTGCACGGCGAACGAGAGAGATGCGCTGTTTAATGTAATAAAACACAACGCGTATAAACCCTACACAAAAGTGTGCCTCCCTGTGAGGTTCTCTCGCGAGCGGGAGGGAAAGAGTGGAATGCTGGCGGATCAAAGTTCATCAGACAGCTAAACTTAATCTCGCTCATCGTCAACTCGCTGCCGAGCCCGCAGGGAATGCGGGTAAAAGGACCGAACCGCGCTCATGATTCAATCAACCAAGTTAAAGCGAGCGAGAAATGACGCGATGCGAAACGCGAGGCCACTTTGCCCGCTGTTCAAAAAAAAAAAAAAAAAAAAAGAAAAAAAACGGCTAAAGCGTGTCCTGCAAAACTGTGCGCGGATCAATCGGATTCGTCGCGCTCTTTTTGTTCCGATGACTTGTCGTTTCAAATTTTCGAAAGGTAATGACGTTTTTTTTTCCCGATCAGTATTGCTGTCCTAAGTAGAGCATATCGATGTTTTAAGCGACCGAACAGTCCGAGAGTTACATCTTTGATTTTTATGATTCTCCGTTTGACAGAGAGCATAAACATATTCCTCATTTGCATTAAACGTCACTTCGTTCTATCGTTGTTTTTAATATAAAAATATAAATAAAATAATTGTATATAAATAAAAGAAATATTTCTTGTTGCACAATTGCTGCAACTTACTTTTGAATATTTTTCTTAGTTGATACGAGAGCGAAAGTTAAGAAAAGAGTTGACGTTTCGTCGTTCCTTCCTTCTTTCCGTTCATCCAGAAATTATCCGGTTGCACGCCAGCCGGTCCACAATCGCATCCTGAAGCGTCCTGGCAGTAGACGGTATTCATCGCGATTTCACTCAAGCGTCGAGCATCTCTTAAGAGCGTTTTAAGCAGTCGCGAACACAGTCAGCACGTCAAAGTGTACGAATGAATAAGGAAAATTGAGAGTTATCTCTCTCTCGCGCGCGCGCGCGCTAGTTTTTATCTGTACAATTTTTGCGCGCGAATAACAACTCCTCCCCGTATTCGTTACAACATGATATTTGATAAACACAGTCGCGAAACATAAAAATACACGTGCACCTATTCTCTTTCATGCTATATTTTTCTGTTTTCCAAAAAAGCTATCGTTTACATGGTTTTACATCGAACATCTTTTTGAAAAAACACGTAATGTTTTCTTTTTTTTTATTTTGATAAAAATGTTTTTCAAAAGTTTGTTCGGCGTGTAACTGTTTTCTGTAATATAATGAAGTTCTTCTTAATATAAACTTTTAAACTCGATGTATTTTTTATAGAACGCGTTTAAATTTGCTATAGAATATTTAAAGCTTTTCCAATAGAATATAATTATATTTCAAAAACAACAATAGGAATTGAAAATTTTCTCTCTCTCTCTCTTTCTTTCTTTCTTTCTGACGCAATAACGTTCTAAAAGTAACAAATTCTATTTAATTTCATTCTTGCTTTATCTTAGTGCAAACGTTGTCGGAATAATCAGAATCGGAAACAAAGAACAAATTAGACCGCGAACTGTTCTTTTTATATATCTCTAAAACCGTCATTCGGTCGTGCCCCGATGCAGCCGCTGCGGCAATCGTAGCACGTAGCGCGAGCTGTGCATGGCTTTCTATGGCAAACCGCTCTGTGTGATCCGATTAAAATATCGCGTGCGTTTTAAGGGGTTTTCGAACGTGTCACGTGCAAAAGTCTACGCTTGCCGCGGAGCGAAATAAAAGCTACGCGTAATCGCACAGAGGCGCGAATTCACGATTTTCATTATTTTTTTCTCTCGCTCGTTACAATTGACGTCTCCGACTTTTCAACGAACCTGTCAGTCGCGTTGGAACAACGAACGCAACTCGCTGTTATAATCTGAGATGTCGACGCGTTTTGTTCGAGAAGAACAACGACGTTCTAATACTAAAAAGTTTATCAGAAATTATAATTTTTTGTTTTATTAATTGAAGTACATCCTTTTTAGCCTCTTCGCGTGCAAATTATACCGTTTTTATGTTTTTTTTCCAGAACACACAATTGCAAGAGAATTCAAGTTGTTTGAGACAGAATTTAAATACTTTTATATTTGTTTTTAAATATTTTTTTTTTTTACTTGTAGTCTAACATGATTAAAAGAGTTCTCTCTTTTATCATTCTAAACAATTTTTCTTAAGATTATGCCTCGCTATACAATAATTCGCTAACTGATTGTGTGTTCACGCTCTAAAAACGAGAATGCACTTCTGCGGATTAAAACGGAGTACCGTTGGGAAAAAATTTCCAGCTGTCGAGGAAAAATCAAGGGGTTCACGCGAAAATGTAACAGTCGAGAGAAGAACAATTACGTGTGGTCGGAGATGCAATGATGTATTGTTCGAGTTTTTTGCAAAACAAAAAAAGTACACAACATTGCTCGCGCAATTTACATCCGCGATTTACGCGCGAATTAAATTCACATCTTCAGCCGTAGTTTTTTTCCTTGATGGTGTTAATGAAGACCGACATAAAGGTGACATGGGACCTGTGTGAGGCTGTTATATGACCTTTAATTGTAATTTCGTAAAGAAAAATACTCGTTACAAAAACAAGGCGTTTGAAAGATATTTTTTGAGTCTAAATCTCCAAACTTAGTCTAAATATTCGTTATTACGAACTCTATTGCGCATTTGTTGTCGCGCGCGAACCAACAACATCGAAAACCGGTGTTTACCGTCTACCGTATCTTTACGAGAACGTTGCTTTTGTAGATAAAGAGAAGGAAGAGAGATTGAGAGAAAGAGAAAGAGAGAGAGAGAGAGAGAGAGAGAGAGAGAGAGAGAGAGAGAGAGAGAGAGACTTTTATGGGAAGGAAAACGGAGAAACGGAGGCGGTAGAGCGTGACGATCCGCGCAGTGTATACCGAGGAGAATCGCGTTTAATCTGGCGCGATGTCTCACGCGATCCGTCTTTGTCGCGTCGAAGCTATGCCACCGGAGAAGCGACTCTGCCATTGTACTGTTCCTCGCATGGTTATACGGAACGACCACAAACTTTCTAAAGAGAAAATTCCTTAACTTAACTAGAAACATAAATATAAAATAAAAAGTTTTTTTTAATAAAAAAAAATATATATATAAAACATTTACACGGCAATTTCAACTAAATAGAAAATTTTTTAATTTTCTCACGCGCACACAAAATTTTGATTAAACGTTTTATGTGATATTAAATATTTCGCGGAAATCAGAAATTATTATCAGAATATTTCAACTTATGTTGTGGCAGGAAATATATACATACATGTAAACATTTATTACTAATAAATTTTTTATCTCAATGTTATGCACTATTTACAACAACAAAATTCACAGTTTCTCTGAAAAACCAAAAACAAAAAATCACGGACTTTTTTTGGCTTCTTTGTAGAAAAGTGTTGTCGGAACCGGCGCCTCAGGTGTCGTCGCTCCTGCAGCCAGGTGATACGACGAGGGTTGCAGCAAACGATGACGCCACCGCCGTAAACTCGACGGTCTCCGTCGTGGTTCTTGCTTGCCGTGCTACAACCGGGGGCGGAAGCCGGTTGACGCAGTGGGAGACACAGCCACCTGGGAAATACTCCTTAATGCCCGCAAAGCTGCCTCACTCTCGTACGTCTCTCTACCGCGCGTCTCTCTCTCTCTCTCTCGCGGCATTTCCATCCCTCTTTGCCTCGCTCTTCCTGTTGTTCATCCTATTCCTTTTACGGTCTTGCACCGCACTTTGTCTTTTACTGTGTCTCTCTTTCTCTCTCTCTCTTTCTCTCTCTTTCTTTTCTCTCTGTTACACTTCTTCCGCTTTCTATCCTGTTTTATCTTTTTATTTCTTCTTTCGTTCAATTCTTCCTGTGACTTCTTCTCAGACAAAAAGAAGAAGAGCCAAAGAATTTTTAATTCTCGCGTATAAAATAAATTATAAGTAATCACTAGGACTCTTTCTGTTCAAAAACAAATTAACTTTCTGTTCAAGTACAAATTACCATTATCATTTCGATTATAACTTATAAATATTTAGAATCTTTTGTTGTCTAAACAAGACTTGAAAAAATGATTAAAACAACAACAAACTTATCTTCCAGAGAGATAGCAAAGATACAAAGGACGTATGAGAGATACAACTTCTTATCAAATATTACTAACAAATCTATTATAAAAAAAATATGATGTTTAAAAAAAACGTGAGAATGTCATTTTCTAAACTGTGTTATATTAATTTCAGCGTTTTTTTTTTATTTCTCTAGTGTGTGCGTCTACGCGAATGGTAACATGCGCGCGAAATAAAAGTAATGAACTCTCTTTAACTTGGACTGCAGCCGGAACGAAGGAACAAATGCTTTAAGCGACGCAACTCGGCAGAAAATGAAGAATAGTTTCGCCGTCCTCCCATATATAAAACGGGACGTGGTAAAAAAAAAAAACCTGGCAAACTATAAGTTTTACACCATCTGCGCGTTGTTCGAACGAGTTTTAGTTAACGGTTATACTTGGATATCGTAAAATATTGCAGAAATATCTGAAGAATTGACTTTATATGCTTCACTTCAGTTTTTAAGACTCGCTCGCACACACACACACACACAGTTCTTCCGGATAAAAAATAATCGCCGATAATAATTAAAACTCTCTAACCAGCCGACACGTTTGTTACCGTGTAACTTCGCCTGTAAATATCGCACGTCGATAATCTGAGCAGCCGCGTGAAAGATATACGAACGAGAGATTTTAATAACAAACGAGAGCAAGAGTCTCTTTCTCTCTCTCTTTCTCTTCTCTGACAAGTTTTATGACAAATGATTTTTCCGCGATGGTCGATTTATTTCCGCCCGTCGATTACATTCTCTTCCGTCGAAATTGACTTCGTCGTAATTTCACCGTCGACACTTTCGAAAAAAAAAAAAAAAAAAACCCCCGTTTTCTCTTCGCTCGTAATCATTTTCTTGACACGACGCGTCTGCCATCAGTTCACCTTCTTCCACTTCTTTGCAGACGCATCACCCCCCAGCATCGTTCCTTTGACGGCGCGGAGCAACGACAGCAGCAGCTTGATCAACCGGAAGAGGATGTAGATGAGCGCCGCGAAGAAGATAATCAAAACGAGCCCGACGTCGATGAGATAACGCTGGTACCAGGACAGAGCCGCGCGATCGCTGTGCAAGTAAGGGTTGCCATTGCCACGGGCGATGTATTCCGTCCACCATACCGCCGTCTCCAACGGGGTGGCAAGTCGATCACGGTAAGCCCTCGAAACCCTCAAGGCGTTCTCGCGGTAACTGAAAGCAGAAGAAGATAGAGAGTCTGAAATTTGCGTGACATACCTTAATCTTTCTCTCTCTCTCTCTCTCTTACTTTTTCATTATTTTTTTAAGATAGAAAAAAAATCACTTTTTATCATTTTTATTTTTTTTATCATTTTTTTTTTTTTTTTTTCAATATAAAAATATATGCTAAGCAAGTGCTCTGCGAAAGAGCATTGAATTTTTCATCGAAAGCGAAGATCCATTTTCATCCGCGTTTAATTCACGAAGTCTCTCGACGGTACCGCGCGGCGTGCGGTCGAAAACACTGCGGATTGATCGATGGAAACGGATTGCTCGTTGCAATTGAGATTGACGGTTTCGGGACATCCCGTAGGCGCGTGTTTGGCGAAGTGCGTATTGCGTCCGGTCGAGTAAACACGCGTGCGTAATCGCCGCGAGATGCGCCGCGATTGCCGATGGGACGGATGGGGAGCGCGCGCGCAAAACAAAAAAAAGTTCGCGGGATACAAGAAGAATAAAGAGACAAGAACAGAAGAACGATATGCGCGGAACAAGGGAGCGGTAGCGCGGAGAGAGAATAGTAGCGGGGGGGGGGGAGGAAGGGAAAACGAAATTGTGCACAACCACCCTCGGCGTAGCCCGGCATACAATTTACCGATCGGTACTCTCCATTATTCGTGTTTACAGCTGCAGCCCGCGAATCAACCTGATGCACCGCCGCGCCTCGTCTACACCCTCCACGCGTATCTCCTACCTCCTTCCCTCCCGCTTTTCCTCCCGTTGCATTCCGCCGCAGAGCGCTCCTGACCCTTCTGTCCGCCCGCGACCCTCGCTCACGTTCCCCGTTATTTGCCTCGGTCAAATTCGGGTTGCTGTCCCCACGGTGGTTTTGAATTAACCATCAATTTTGGACGCGCCCGACATCCCTTCCGTTCAGGGCCGCATCTGTCAGCGGTTGTCCGCGACGCACCGTCCGGGACGCATTCGCAGGTGATACCGCGTGGCGCGTTGAAAGAAGAATAGAAGAACGTGAGAGGAAAGAGAAGAATATTTATTTCTCGAATTTCCTTTCCGCATCCCTCGAGCAACGCAGCTCGCGCGCAACTGTGTTTCGATCCTCCGAAAGTCGCAGCGCGAACGAATTTTTTTCTCCGCCACGCATCGAGTTAACGAGCGAAAGAATGCTCTTTTTCCCGGGGTCAAAAGAAGACGTGGGATGGGAACGAATAGCGCGTGGGGAGCGTCGCGCGAAATTTAACATCGCATAAAACGCGCGCACATTTTCTGGTTGCGCCCTCCCGCCCCCGAGGGAGCATTTTCGCCCGACGCGCCCGCGCTTCTTTTTGTATTTACAAATTACAATCCGCGAGCGCGGTCGGCGCGACGCATCAATATTGAACGCGTGACGTTAACCGCGGTTTTCTTTTTTTTTTTTTTTGTTTTTTTTGTGTGTCACGCTTTTCGTGATTTTGCAGCAGCAGCAGATGCGTTTACACGACCCGCGCGTCTGCACGTCGCGTCGACAACTTCAATTATTTGCGAGCAAGTTTCTTCAAAATTTTTTTGTAGAAACAATTTGAAAAATCTAAAAAAATTCATACGTTAAAATATAATAACGAGGATAGAGGTTTTTTTTTGTACTTTGATGTTTGCACGAGTCTTGTGTGACGAAAGTTTAAATCGATTGATCGAAGAAATCGCTTCGTGATGACTCTATGCGCGTGATATACGTAGATAGAGAGGAAAGTGTGGTAATTAGCGGCATTGCGCGGAGTGATCGGAATGTTAATAGCGTCGAAACGACGCGGTCGAATGCGGCCGCGTCATATACCTCTGTCCTGATCGCGTGCTTACGGCGCGGAAGATGAGAGAAGGGATGGAAGAAGACTTACGCCACATCTCGCGCAGTTAATACGGTCCTTATCTTAAAACGGGGATCAAATTACGGCGATCTCGAGGAGCCATTACAATCGGAACACGGCCGTAATGGTCGATAAATGGCGGAAAACGACGGCGTTATCTTCGACCTGATTAGAAGAAAATAGAAGATATGATTCAAGGAAATGTACACGGCGCATCTTCTTCGCGGCTAATTGTGAGAAGTAATGGTATCGATCACTTGGGGTTGCGATATCAAAAAAAAATAAATCAATAAATAAAAATTACACCGAATCGCGCACCAAAGTTGGAAAACAATTTTATTTGAAGGAAAAAACGTGCGGCGAGTTTCGGAAAAAAAAACACTCTGTGAGACTTTGCAGTCATAATTCGAGAATAGGAGGGATGATGCGCGCGATGGTCAGATATGTACTGCTTCCGGCCGTAATTGCTCGGAAGCAGTTTTTCGCGACGGATCTACCGAGGGGGGGGCGGATCCGGTACCGGAGACCCGGTTATCGGAAACCGAGCGAATTATTTAATCAGGAAAGTCCTGGAGATGTCGCGAAGTTCTCGCCGCATCTCTCCCGCCCCGTCGCATCTCTCCCGTCGTATCCAGAGGCCGACTCCGTATCTCCGGGGGATCATAATTCCCACGATATCTTTCCCGGATCGTCGTCCTCGTCTGCGACGCGTTGCCGCGAACTTACTTTCCGACTTGTAACGTTATCACACGGAGAAGAGACCCTCAATTCTCTAGCGCTCGCTTGTTCGCCATCGTCACGCTCGCATGCAGTTCCGTGCACGTGTGTGTGTGTGTGTGTGTACCAGAAAAGTCATTTAAAACTGACTTAAATTATATTTCGGAATCGACTTCGGTTCGATCGGCGTCGAATGTTCGAATATATTGCAAAAAAAAAAAAAAAAAAGAGAGAAACCGCGCTCAAGACTTTTTATATCAATTTTTAAATAAATATCGTAAATGTTTAGCAGTGCGCGCGTGACGGAGGAGAGCGAGCGAGCGAGACTTCTTAATTTTGCAACGTTGTTATCCGACGAGATCGACTTTTAGTTTCAAGTGTAGTTCTCTATACGTGTGTGTACTTTGGCTCTCGAGGCTACAAATTTCGATCATGAATACGAGCGTTACACTTTTACGCCGAGCAAAAGTGTGTTAACTTTTATCGGTGTCGGCTGTAGACCGCGTGTGACAAATTCGTCACTTTGCATCGGACGCGCAACTCTCGTCGTTGTTACGGGGGACGGGCGAAGTTTCCACCGCGCTGAAAATAGTTTTTCCTGCAACTCCGAATTGACGTAATAGAAACTTCGGAACACTGCAAAGTCTCATAAGTCTCGCATTTTCATACTTTGCGCGCGCGCGCGCGCGCGAGGCTGACGGCGCGCGTGTTACAACTTACTTCTCGGCAATGCATTATGCTTTACCAGCGCGACCAATCTTGTTCGCGTCGCATCCACTTTCCCCTCTTTCGAGAGTAAAGAGATTTATTCTCTCGCAAATATATTAAGTATAAACTACGTGTTGGGAGGAAAATGACTTTTGTATTGTGACGCGAACGCAATGCGTCAAACAACGCGCTCGTACAAACACGAGGCTTTTCTTTTTGTTTTTCGCGAAATTCGATTATTGATCCGAATTCGACCGAAACAGTTTTTTTTTTTTTTTTAACTAAATTAAAGATTTCTATCGTTTTTTATCGTTTCAAATATTTAACTTGATAATGTTACAAATGAACGCTAATAAGCAATACGGTGTCAATCCACAAAAAATGAAATATTGAGACATTTATGTAGCGTGCTGCTTTAGCTATCAAAGAAACTCTTTCAATCGTGTTTTTAAATCCTTAAATGTTTTTATATAAAAATACACAAACATCTTAAAAGAAATATATATACAAACACCTTTTTTTTTTTAATCTTAATTTATTCAAAATAGCGACGTGTGGGTTGACACTGTATTGCTTATTAGCGTCCAAATATATTGACAATGTTGATGATATTTTTAACGTGAAAGTGTATCAAGCACCTTTGATTCTAAACCATTTTTCTCAGTTCTGCCTCCGGTTGTTTATGATTTGTGCAATGTCTCGGTGTGATATTTTGCGCAAGTCGCGCAAAATCACGTGGTTAATAACCGGAGTGTGACGAATTAATAATTGTAACACGCTAGGCGCTAGGTTCTCTCTCTTTCTCTCTCTCTCTCTTTTCTTCTTTCAAAAATAGTAGGTTATACGAGCGGGCCTCTATACCCTCTAGCGAACACGCGCGTTAATTATATTTATTACTCGCAGGTCGCGCGGCCAGTTGAGGCAGAATTCCGCGCGGCGCATTAAATAACAGTCGTAACGGCGCCAAACGTCAGATGTATTTCCGGCCGATAACAATTTCGGCGCGCGCAGTATCGGTTCCGACGGATCGTATTACGAAATTACTTTTCGGCGTGTACACGACGGCATTATTACAATGCCATCGCGGCCGGCGAATGGCATCGTTCATTCTCGCAATCAGAGTGCGCGAACCAAACAGCTGTTAGCGAAAATGGGAAAAACTGGCCGACCGAATGATCGATTCCTGATTTCCGTCGGAAATAACGTTCCCCGTGATGCGACGAGTTTAATTCGCGGCACTGTATTATCCACTCTAACAAATAAAAAAAAAAATAGAAAACTATGCTGCATATTTCATTTTGTTCGTAATTTTTCTGTCTTAACGCTTTCAAGCAAAAGAATTTATTGAGCGTAAGCGGAAGAGAAAGAAATTTTTCACAACGGTGTGAAAAAAAAAGAAATTGATTTTGAAGTGATTTCAAAATTTACGCGACGGAATTTATTTCGAGCGAACACGCGCGATTTAAATTTCCTGTTGTTCTAAACAACGGCGCAGCGATAATTGCGAAAATAAAAATTATTCAATAGTGCGAAAATGGAAAACAAATGACGAGCAAGTCATCCGCGATAGAGCTCAATTTCTATTCTTTAAACAAACGGCATCGTTAAATTTATCGAGCGAGAATTAAACACGTTCATCAATTTTCTTTTTTTTTTTTTTTTTTTTGCATGCAACATGTACGAGGTGTTTCAAAGCTTTTTAGCATTAACGTTTTAATGACAAAA